CATGTGTAGTGGTCCCCAGAAATAGGTTAGTATTTTGCAGTATGCTGCTGCTTTTTTCCAACACTTTAACAGCTAAACCACAGATGTCTTAAAAATAGTTTCCCACTATATCTCTAGTACAAATTTCTTAATTCTCTTTCTCATAGAGTACGTCAGCCTTTTTATTTTGATAAATCAGTTTTATTGATAAATCATTCTTATTATTTGGGTCCTTTTTAGATTTTGCTTCTTCTAAGCTATTTCTACACAATACAACAAAATGAAAATTATAGTTAATTATCTGGAATATATGTGTGTGTGTCTGTGTGTGTGTGTGTGCATTCAAACACTTAGAAAACTTTACAAACATAATCTTTTTTTTTAAGATTTTACTTATTTATTTGCCAGAGAGAAAGAGAGAGAGAGAGAGCACAAGCAGGGGGAGCGGCAGGCAGAGGGAGAAGCAGGCTCCCCCCTGAGCAGGAAGCTCGATACGGGGCTCGATCCCAGGACCCCGGGAATCATGACCTGAACCCAAGGCAGGCGTTTAACTGATTGAGCCACCCAGGCATCCCAACATACTGATCTTTTTAACCACTATTTTTCACTTATATTCTTTGCATATTATAAAATAATTAAATTCCTATTCAAACTTATCTATTGATAAATTCACTGGTATATATTGAGTACCAGTTAAACGGTTGGCACTGCAAGGCAATTAAATGTATTTACATTTCTATTAAATATGGAAGAGGGACTATAAGATTACTGCCTTTTTTCATGAGTCCATGGACCAAGACTTGGGCAAGGAAATAAGACAAATTTGTATGAAATCAATTTGAGTACAAACTTTGATAATATAAATATCTACCAATAGCTTTTAATCAGCCAACGTCATGAATATCCCAGCCACCATCAGAAAGAACACAGAAGGCTTTGGAGTCAGATGAATTGGGGTTCAAATCCTGACTCTGCCATTTTATAGCTGTGTGACCTCACCTCTCTGAGCCTCATCTATATGATAGAAATACAAGAGTAGGGCACCTGGGTGGCTCAGTCAGTTAAGCAACTACCTTCAGCTCAGGTCATGATCCCGGGGTCCTGGGATCGAGTCCCACATGGGGCTTCCTGCCAAGCAGGGAGCATGCTTCTCCCTCTCCCTCTGCTGCTCCCCGTACTAGTGCTCTCTGTCTTTCTCACAAATAAATAAATAAAGTCTTAAAAAAAAAAGAAAGAAATACAAGAGTAAGAACATCTCATGGGGGCACTCTGAGAAATAAAATAATTCCGAGAGGGCACCTAGCAATTAGAATATAGGAGCTCATATCATTGCTGTTGTTTTTATTACCTTGGAGTATATAAAAATATGTTTATATATCCATAGCTTAAAAAATAATAGATTAAAAAGCTTTTTTAAAATTTCCCCTGAACTTGAATGATGACCCACTCCAATCTTGATGTGTCTTAATTTCTTAACTAAGAATCCATTAACATGAAGAAACTCACCACTTAGGAATGAGAAAAGTGTTCCAAACACATCAGTTCTCAAATATTCCATGTGTGGACATCTGGGAATTTTACTTTATCACAATAAACTACAAAGCATATTTAATCTGGGATAAATCTGCATTGTTTATGTAATGTGAATGATAGATACAGGATGCCCGAGACCCTTCTCAAAGTTTATGCCATAAACTGTAACACAGATCTACAGTGTGACCCATATCTTTTGGAGATTTTTCTTCTTCTTTGACATTTCATGGTACTGTGAAAAATCTACCATTATCTGGTTTGGATTGAAAGCAGTACTTTGAGAAGCCAGAAGATGGCACTAATTTCTAAGAATTACACATCTAAAAAGAATGTGCTGCTTTGGATTCTGATCAGTTACCATTTCTTTTGCTGGTGGAAATAATGATGCTCCATATTTTCATCAGTTTTCTTATCTTAATGTAAAATTCTGTTTGTTCTTAGCTTTTTGCTGACAATTAGAGAAGTAAGAATGGTAGAATTCTGTATCTACACAGAATGTTTGAATGATTTAGTATGAGCAGGAATTGGCAACCAATGATACTTATTTCATGTTTATAACTGAGGGTGAATTGAATATTATATATCCATTTGAATAGAGAGCTTGATTTTATTCATGTATTGAGTATTATCTTGAGTTCAGAAAGAATAGGCAAGTGTGTGTTTTCTGTACAAGTCACCATCACCTATTACTGTTAATAACATCTTAGAAGAGACTTATTTTTCGCTTCCCTTTAAATGAAAATCACATTTGTAGGTTACCACTTTTTTTATTTCTGAATGTTAATGCTGAACAGTATGGAAGCATGTTTGACAAGGAGCTTATTCAACAACAGAAATAGAAACAACAGTGATCATATATATGGTTTTATACCCTAATTGCACTTATGCAGGATACTGAGCTAAATCTATTGCTATCTTACTAAGAAGAAGTTAAGAACAAAGAGAGAAGAAAGATGTTTACACTCAAATCTACAAAAGAAAGCTGGAGAGGTGAGCAGTGGTCTTGTACTTTTGCAAATTTACCCATCTGCCTAAGGGTATATGAATTTTTTCCTGGCAGAGTTAAATGTGTATTTCGAGGTAGTCTATGCTGCTAAACACCATGCTTGCAAAACTGGCATACCGAAGTCTTTCAAAATCAGCAGTTTCCAGGGGAAAATCCATCTACCATCTGCTTGCTTCATTAAAATACATAATAGAGGAGGGAAGAACTGAACTGCAGTTTTACTAGCTCAGCGCTCCCTGGTGTCCAGTCAGCTAAGGTTATATACAGCAGCCTATATAGAAAACAGAATCCCAGTAAAAATCAACCACAGTTTTATTTTGTTTCCTTCTTGTCTTTTGTATTGAGCAATGAACTTTATTTCCGAAAAATAGATTTAGACAAGACCGTCTATCCTGCAAACATTGTACATTTTCAAAAATTCTTTAATGAACTTAAGGAACTTGAGATTCTCAAGTCCATACTGTAAAATTTTAAACAAGATTGTGAGGGAATCATACAGATATTTTGTCATGTAAAAGCCAAAAGTTTCTGTCAAAAACTATCAATTGCCCCAATGGTATTTTTATCTTACGAGTTCAAAAGACATTATTATCAAATATTAAACATAAAACAATTTTAAAAGAAAGAACTTATGAAATTATAGTTATATTTATTCAACTTAGTTATGAAAAACAACTGATTTGTGAAGTTGGGGGTGTCTTCCTTGATTTTCAGTATCAACATAGAATATATTACTTGAATTTTTGCCCACCCTTGAAAAATTAAGATTCTAATATCTTTGCAAAAGTCCAGAGATATTCTTATTCTTTAGAAGCAAATGACTAGAAAAATGAAAAAAAAATCAACCAAGCAATGGTTAGCATTGGTGTCGGTATAGAAATTCTTTTTCCCAACTTCATCCAACAGATCAGGTTCTTTCTTTTGTGACATAAGAACAGAACAATAAGATATTAAATAAACAATAACAGCAGAAAAATTACATATCAGTGTCACCATTTTTTCAACACAATGGTAAGCCCCTTATATGTATCCACTCAACCATTTGATAAAGATGTATCCCATACCCATGTGAGTCCAGGCACTGTTGTACATCCTGGAGTTGACAATGGACAGGCAAGCTCTGTGCCCTGATGAGCCCTACAATCTAGGGGATTGAGACAGTAAAAAAATTAAACATAATTGGGGAGAGAGACAGTAAGAAATAGACAAATAGCACATTATGTAATTAAGCTGTAGTAAGCACAGCAGGTTAAAGAACTAGAGAGTGATGGGGGTAGGAGGAATTAATAATTTCGTAGGGTGGTCAGGGAAGACCCCTGTGACGAGGGGACACTTGTGCAGAGTCTTGAAAAAAGTGAGGGAGAATATGTTTCAGGCACTGGAACTAGAGAGCAGAAGCCCTGACCTGGGAGCATGTTTGGTTTAAGAAACACAAAGAAGTTAGCAAGGCTGGAGCAGAATGAGCAAGAAGAAATGCAAATAAAATAAATTCAGAGAGTAGGGGTTTGAGGCTATGCTAAAGAGTTGGGTTTTTTTTTAATTTCAAAATTCAAGGGAAAACACTAGAGGATTTTGAAGTATGCAATTAATATTTAAAGGCCACACCGGCTACAATATGAAAAAGAAACCGCAGGGAGACAAAGGTGGCAAAGGAGACCAGTTAAGAAACCAGTAGTAGTCTGGGCTAGAGAGAATAGTGCAGTAGATTTTGGTGGCATTGATGGAGGTGATGAGAAGTAGTGAGATTCAGGAGATATTTTGAAAATGAACAGGATTTTCCAGTCAACCGGTTGACATGGCAGAGAAAGAAACAATTTAGGTTATGATTAGTTTTTGTTCTGAACAAAGACAGAAAAGATTGGGGAAGAGATGTGGTTGGAAGGAGAGGTTATAAGGATATGAGAATAAAGAGTTCTGTCTTGTGTATGTTTAGTTTGAGATTCCCATTGGTCATACAAATGTATGTCAAATATCTAGTAGGTAGTTGGATATATGAGTGTGGAGCTCTGAAATGAATAGAAAAAAAAAAGAAGTCAAGGATAAAGATTCTTATTTAAGACTCATCTTCCTGTAGGTGGTACATAGGAGGAGATAGAGAGTGATGGCAGATGGACACAACTGAAAGAAAAGGGGAATGGGGAGCAGTTGAAGGCAGGAAGAATGCTAACGGAGAATGATACCATGACGATCAAGTGAGGGAAGCATTTCAAGAGAAAGAAAGAATCAACTGTCAACTGCTCCTGAGATAACTGAATAAGAAAACAGAATCGGCATTGAATTTAAAAAGATGGTGGTCACTGGTGACCTTCACATCAGAAGTTTCAAAGGAAAGAGAGAAGATGAGCTGACTAGAGTGAAATCAAGAGTGAATAGGTGGTAAAAAAAAAAAAAGAAAAGAAAAGAAAAGAAAAGAAAGAAAAAAAAAGTCAACACAGATACTTTTTAGAACACTCTTACTAGGATGATAGGTAGAAAAACAAGGAGCAGCTAGAGAGGACTGTGGAGCTGAGGAAAGCAGTTTTTTCAGATGGAGATATCTCAGCATATTTGATGTTGAAGGGAATGATTCAGTAGAGAAGAAGAATTTGGTGTCTCACCTGGGGAAATGGGAAAGAATTGCTGAAACAATGCCCTTAAGTAAATGAGGGGTGGATCTGATACCCAGGCAGAGTCAGCCTTGTAACCAGAGGGAAGGCAGAACATCTCAATCAAAATGAAAGATTTGAGGCGGGGAGGGTCTGATGGCCGAGGGATGGGGTAGTTCTCTGTTTTTAGTTTATTTTCCTCCGTGAAATAAGAAGCAAGATCATTAATTGAGAAATGATGAATGTTAGATGTTGGAGGGGGAAAGAAGAGGTATAAATTAGTTGCCTTAGTGACTTGACTGGGAGAATGTAGTAGAATTACAGAATTTGTGCAAGAGGCTTGCCCACTTGAGATCTGTGATTAGCTCAGATGTGTTTCCTTCAGCCACCTACTTTTCTCATTCTTCACACAAAGTTGGATATTCTTACCATCCTCATTTTACACATGAAGAAACTAAAACAGAGAAGCTACCTTGCCCAAATTTACATAGAAAGTGAGGCAATCCAAAATGGAGTCCGAGCTGGGTGCATCCAGCGGCCTCTTCTCAATCACCGTGACGTTTAATGCCTCATACGTCGCGGCCAGTGGGCTTCAGGAGGCATCACTGGTCGCAGAGTTGAAAGGAAGGTGTTCTGTAGTCTGAGCTCTTATATATGTCTTCTTCCCACATCCCAAGAGCTCATCTTGGTCACTTCTATGCATAAAATGTCAATAATTCAGGTAAGAGGACTAACCACAGAGTATTTTTAAAAGAAAAAAGTACAGTTACATTTAAAACATTCAAGTGCTATATCTCTGTCCCGATGGGGAATGAGAAAATTTTGCCATAGTAAATTTTCCAGAAGACAGAAGTTTATACCCTTTTTGTGGTAATTTTTGCTAAGATGTACTCTGTGAGCATTGTGATATGTTGTGCAGAGATTCCACATGGAGCCTGCAACCGAGCACTATATTATAGAAAAGGTAACGACATTTTCCCATCATTGAAAGTTTGTAGAATTTTTAATGACCCTAAATGATGTTGAGATACATAAGGCTTTTTGACTGCCTGAAATGTTCTCAGACTGCTGTTAGTGTTTTTGATTTTGCTCCCTTCTTCCACACACTAAATAATTAATATTCAGTTCAAATCCCAACATCCCCCTTCCTTCCTCATGGTCCCAATCTATTGCTGTAACTGTAAAAGAACTGAAGAAAAAAATGCAAAAGTTCACATATGGAAACCATGAGGCAACTAGGGATTACAAAAGGAAAAAAAAAATCACTTAATAGCCCTAAAATATTCCCATTACAATCTGTTCAATCTACTAATTTGATGACGACTGACGCTTCTAGAAGTCTGATCTGGGAATTCGTGTAATAGAGTAATCAAATTAACCAAATGTTGCCTGGTTGAAGATCATAAAGGGCTTACTTTCAAGAACTGAAAAGAATCATTTGTAAGGTTGAAAGTCCCCTTTCTCTAACCTGGGTCCCTCCACGTTCTCCTGCCTGACCCAGCGGGATGAGGGGGCGGGTGAGGGCAGGGAAGGGGGTTGAGGGTGAGAACACAGGAGACTCTTCATAGTGGGATGGACGTTCTTTGACCCCTTCTCCTGATTCCTCCTCTTCCCCTAAGAAACCCTGTCTTTTCACGGCTCCTAGAGTTACCAAAAGACAAAGCCCCTTGAAGTAAATCACAACTAAGGGTCTAGAAACTCACTTACCTGCCCAGAGACTGGGGGTTCTCTCTGCAGTGTTCTTCAGTAGAGTGTGAGCTGCCTATGTAATTATGTTTTTTAGTAGCCATGTTTTTAAAAATAAAAAGAGACAGGTGAAATTTATTTTAATAATATATTTTATTTAACCCAATATTTAATGCGTATAAAATATTATTAGTAAGATATTTTACGTTCTTGGGGCTCCTAGGTGGTGCAGTCTGTTAAGTGTCGAACTGTTGGTTTTGGTTCAGGTCATGATCTCAGGGTCATGAGGTCGAGCCCCACATCAGGCTCCGTGCTCAGCACAGAGTCTGCTTGAGACTCTCTCTCCCTCACGCTCTGCCCCTCCCCACTTCAAGCGCATGCTCTCTCTCTCTCTCTAATAAATCTTTTTAAAAAAAAAGATATTTTAAATTCTTTTCTCCATACTAAGGCCTCTCAGTCAGCCTAGCCACAAGTCAGTACTGACAGCCACATGTGGTGAGTGTCTACATTATTCGACAGTGTAGCTTTAGGCTCAGAAATGCAGAGTGTGACAGGCCCTTTCCTGTGTGCATGGTTATCCTCAGTCTTCAGTATACATTGTACTTCTTTCCAGTAGTATGAAATTGTGTCATAAACTTATTCTGATTGGATACTAGCACCGATAACACATTTCTCCTCACTGTTTAAATAAATATCACACTGTTATCTTTTTCCATGACTGACCCATAAATTTCCTCACATTTACAATTCAGTGTAAGCTTAGCTCACTACTGGATTTCTTGGTATCATCAAAATCCTCATTTTTGTTCTTAACAAAAGTTTGGTCCTCCAGCTTTCCCCATCAAATCCAGCCTTCACATTTCATCCCTGGAGTGGTATTTCTAAAAGGCAACTCTGACTTTGACCAACCACTCAGAGATTATGGAGAAAGTATCAAGCCCTTCATAATTGGACCCCTGTCTGACTATCTCATTACATTTGCTTGTACTTTTCTTTTTTATACTTCATTCTAAAAGTGACGTACTCCATGAGTTCCTTGAGTATGACACGCTGTTTGGGCCTCCCTACCTGAAAACATGCTCTTCTTTCAACCTGAAATTATCTTTCCTTTTTATCTGCCAGGTGAATTGCTGCTCATCAGCTTTCAATTCAACTTTCCATCCAGTTCATTTGGATCAATTAATTGACCACACACTAGTTCCTTGAGGGTTGGGATGGTGCTTTATTATCTTTGTGTCACCAGTGTCTAGCACAGTGTCTGACAGTGAAATACATATAAGGTGTGTATCTTATATGTATTTCATATTGTATGTATATGTATATGTATTTCATATTGATTTAACCTGAATGTACTACCAAACTTTTAAGTAGACCCAGTTATTGTAAACTATTAACAGGAAGAAATATTGTTTAAAAAGTCATTCCTAAAAAACAACCCCCAATTCCTCTATTTTAGTATTAAATTTAGTTGAATTCTATTGGTTTTTTTTAATGGCAGCATCAAACACTGTCAGTTTTTTATTTTGTTTCAATTCCACTACATTTCATTTCCTTCAACTATCCTATCTATGGGGCTACTGCAAGTGAAATCCCTGCCAGAAAGAGCCTAGCCTTATTTGTCTTTGGAACACAAACCATAAATTACTTCATTAGATAAAAAAATAAATGTAAGAGGTGGAATGTGTCAAAATCATGCTTCAGATTTTGATGAGTTTTGAGAAAAAGAACACTTATCCTAGACCATACATCCCAAGGAATAAACTGGTAAGATTTTAACAAAATCTTATTCTGCTGATTCCACACAGTCACCCTACTTGAACTGTATATGAAACAAACCGAAATAAATCCTCTGATAAGTAGAATCACTTTTCCCAGGATAGTACAATTATTTGCTGTATAAACAATTATAACCAGACATAACAAGCTCTTTTGTTTTAAGCATTAGGTACCAGAGTGAAGATATTTCTTAAGGCTTATAAAAATTCTAGTTTTACAACTTCCTAGGAGAGGCAACGTATCTAGAGAATAGGAGAGCAATATAAGGTAATCAAAACAAGCTCTTCTTCCCTCTGCCAAGCTGTCTCAAACTAATAAAAATAGATCCTAGGAACATCTTTTAATCTGGGAACACCATCCCTAACAGACCGGGATAGGGATCAAGGGCCCCCTTCCTGTTTCCTGTGACCCTCTCAGAGTGGGGGAAATAGAAGCCAGTTAGGACTATTTACAAACAAAACAGAGCAATCAAAGAGAAAAGTTGGAAGCAAGATTAGAGGCAGGACGAAAAGAGCCTCGCTGGCTAACAGGACCCCTCAATTAAATTCTGTTCTGTCCACACTGGCTCTTGAACTTCTTTTTTAACCATTTCCTGTTTCTACTAAATCTCCCTATAGTTTCAGTCCTATCGAAACCTATGCTTTCATTTTTTTTAACAAGCATCTTAACAGAGCAAGAATAAACGTATTTTTTTAAACAAAGATTTCTACGAAAAGAAAAGTTCTGGTCATTAACAAACAGCATGGTGTTGGAAACTGACCTGTTGCCTGCCCATGTCTTGGCCTTCCCACCCCGACCTATGGCTTTGGCTTTTCCAGAAGGGCAGGATTCGAAAAGCCCAGTTTCAAAGCTGCAAGTTCCTCTCTAAATCATGGTCAGTGTTCAGATGCCAAATCACGTTTACAAAGCACCTGGGCAAGCACTTTGACCACCAGTGATCTTTCTTATTTCGAAAATTACTCTTCAAATATAGGGTTTTGCTTTTTAAGTCAATTCTTCATTATGTAAAAAGGGTATGCGAAAGCTTTATATACAGGACCTCAAAACACTGCACTTCCTTTGTTCTGGTTTTGAAACTCCCCATTGAGTCACTTAGTTGCTCAATGCTGAAGGGCACTTAAGTCTAATTAACGTGATAGTAAACAGACTCTCTGGCCAGATGCATCAGCAAAACATAACCCTCCTTTTACAAGTACATGCCCAGGTTTATTTTAACTATTTGGTTTGGGTTTTAACAGAGCTATTGCAATTTCTCAGCCCAGGTTCAGTGGCACAGATGCCTTTGGATACACTTCATTCCTGGCTTATTCACGGATCCCAGACATCGGCTCCGGTTATGAATTCCACTTGAAGTTTCGGCTGGCAAATAATCACTCGGCACTGCAAAATAACTTAATATTTTTCACTGGACAGAAGGGCCATGGTAAGATTAATTGAACCCTCTAGGACTTGCTTAGCTTCTTTTAAGAGTACTTTAGAAATTCTTCAGGGATGCTCTAATTAGCTTCGGATAAAGGACCCATTTGCCTAAATGCAGCCTCCTGCCTCGAGCATGTTCCCTGTAGTCCAAAGTGTTCAGACGTTCCCTGACTCTTTCCAAAGCCCTGTTCACACCAGGGCTGCTGCTTCTCATCAAGGACAAGAATTCCGGCAGGGCAAACGTGAGGGCAGAGAAGGTGAATACGTCATGTGAGAGGTCAGCTTATTGACTGTCCTTTCCTCTGTTTCTTTCTGTTTTCATACAAAAGGAGAGAAGGGAAGTTCTCAGAAGGTATTTCACCATGTGTTGTGAAATGGGAATGGTTGCCCTGAAAGGAAAACCACTCCAAATTAAAGAAGTAAGGAATTAAGAAAGTGCCAGGCCTGTAATAAAGTCCTCCAATGCCCTAGAATTGGTGGGAAATCAACCTATAAGTTAAATTTGTCTGTCTTAAGTAGAAACCAGTTATGCTTCTGTAGAATCAAGGAAAAGCACATATATTTTACCTACTTTCTCTGAGTTCAGTATTCTCATCTGTGAAATCAACATATTACACCAGAAAAGAACCTTTCTCACAACCATCAAGAGTTCTCTTATGCTAGGGTAAATAACAGACTCTCTTTTTGACTTGTTCAGTGACTGCCTCTAATTCTGAACAGTGGTTTCAGTATTAACAAGTGTCTGAAAGGAGTGCACATCCCAAGTGAAGGGTGGTGTGCCAGCCTCCGACCATTTCCTGGGGCGGGGCGGGGGAGCACTTCCATCATGTGAACTGCTGTTCATTCCACCGCCAAAGTCCGTTCGAATCTCGGCCCCATCTCTCCTGCCAAACTGCATGACCTCCTCCAAACTGATCTCCCTCCCGCTGTTGCTGCCTGCAGATCAGTCTCCAAGTTACAGCGAGAGTTACTTTTTTAAAAAAACTTTGCTTAAAACCCACCTGTGACTTTTCACTGTACTTAGAATGCAATCCAGACCTCCCTACCGTGTCCTCAGGGGGCCTTCAGGATCAGGCCCCCGTCTCCATCTCCAACCTCAAGCTCTCTCAGTCTCTGTGCTCCTCTGGTACACGTCTTCTTCAGTGCCTTAACCGTCCAGCCCTGCCCTGTCGCAGAGGCTTTGTGCGGGCTCTTTCCTCTGCCTTGACAAGAGATGGCTGTCAGAGGGGTCAAGAGAGCAGGCTGTGGGGCCCAGGCATATAGACTTGGATCCAGTCTCCACCACCTACAGATCATGTGTCAAGTTACTTAATGTCTCTGCCTCAGTTTCCTCACTGGCAAATGGTTTAGTAATGGTACATTCTCTAATGGAGTTGTGAGGATTAGCATAGCTGATACAAGAAAAGCACTTAAAACAGAGTAGGACTCGGTAACACGGCAGCTTAGATGTTCTCAGGGAGGCCCTCCCCAGCCACTTTCACAAAAGTAGATGCTATCACACTGTACCCATTCTCTACCCCAGTTTCTTATTTATTTTCTTCAAAGCCTATACCTCAATTTATAATTTTTAATCTATTTTTTAGATAATTTATTTTTGTCTGTCTCCGCTAAAAGAATGGGAGCTCTATGTGGTTGGAGACCAAGGCAGTCGTCTCCAGCTTTAGACACCTACATGTAGCACACTGCCTGACGCGTAATCAGTACCGAAGGAACGAATACGAGAACCACCCGAAAAACAGATCATTGTATGATGTGTAAGACAGCAACACAGTTGCGCAAGGTTTTAAAAAGTAGCCATTTTAGAGGTTTCCAGTCCAGATGGCATCTTCTCCGTTAGGATCTTGCCAGTGGCCACCCTCTTCCCACCACTACGGGCAATCTCCCCTGCCTCTGAGCCTTGATAATCGCCTGCCCTGCACGTGGAGCACAGCCCCTCGCGTACAAACTTTGGTTGGCTAAATTTCTCTCTTCCTTCATAAAAACGGTGTCCCCGGTATCACTACTTTGCCCACGAAAGCTCTCAGGTGGTTTTAATAAATATCTGTTGAGTGTCTGCCAGAAGGCAAGGAGGAAGAAGGGGAAAGAAGGAATTTTTACCCCTGATTCTTTACTCCACACATCCTTCATCCTATGTTTATCGATTATATCCTTTTAATTAGTACCCCCTCCCACACACACAAGAAACCAGCTAATGAAAAATTGAAATGAGCATTGAAGACCCTGGGTCTGTCTTGTTTTAAAACAAATCTTCTAAATTCTGAGTGACTGAAAAGGAGAACCCAAGTAAAGGATAAACACTTGGCCCATGAAAATGCTGCCACCAAGTAACTCTTCAGTACTCTTCTATGAAGAGTCCTTCAAAATTCTCAAAAACAAACAAGCAAAAAGCAATGTTTTAGCCATAGCATTTGTAAATTATGGAATCTTTCTTGTGACATTTTTTGGTCTTCTCTAGTCATCTGCTTTATAAGCAAGGAGCTGAATGTTCATGCTGCACTGCATTTTTAGGTTTATAAAATGGTTAAATAAAGGCTACGGAACAGGTAGATAAATTGTGGAGCTCTGTTGTCCAAAGAGTGAAAATAGGAAATCTGAAGTATGCAATTCCACATTCGACCACCTGAGGGGACAAGAACACCAGCTTAAAAATGCAAGTAGCACTAAAAGCAGTGTTTTCTCTAAGTAGGACTTCTTCACGCCTGTCTCAGAATCACATGAGGGTTCTTGTTAAGATACTAATTCCCAAACACTCTTGCATCAAAAAATAGAATTTTATCCAGCACATTAGGTGCTTTTTAGGTAACTAATATTTGAGAGCAACTACTCAAAACCTCCAGGGACCCACTAAATTAGACCATATCTGGAGATCTAAGGTACATAATATTGCCCATAATGTCATGTGTTGGGATGATTCGTCAATTTATGTCACATAAAGTTACTAATTAAAGAAATACCCATTCCTTTAAAACGTAGTGATTCTGATTAATATCAACCATACAATTTGCAGTTGTCCATTCTATATAAGAAACTATGATCTAAGTCAGTGTTATCTCCATGCTTAGGTGTTTTTCTTAATCATTTGGTCATATCCATCTCTGATCTGCTTATTGGTTGTTACCACTAAAATCACCATTTCCTATGCTGCCTTTATCTTTCTCAGGTTAAAAGATTCACAAAGGCGCAGAGTTTGTATAAATGAAATGTAAGCCAACCTCTCATTTCTGACACGTCCACATAAAGAGGCAAGGGACCTTAAATGCCCAACACTGATGACATTACTCCCTGCGTTCCCCAAAGCTGAGCACTGGTTTTGCCAGATTTCATTCTCATTGAACGCTCTGGACAAATCACCCTGTCAAACATTTTAGCTTGATAATGTCTCACTTGACTTGCGATGGTGACCTAACCTAATCCTATTCCTGTGTTTTTGCAGTCATATTTGCCATTTCCTTTATTAGCTCGTCTTCCTTTCATACCCCCCACTTCCTTATAGTGTATGTCTTATAGCTTGGCTCTTCTAGAAACCACCACTATGTCTCACAGTGATCCACGGGTGATTACATTATCTTCCCTTCCTGTCTCCCTTCTGCTGGCAACTGCCATTAATAAACATCTGCTTCAGCTAGAAGCCCAGGAGTCATCTAGATGTCTCCCTTTTATTCATTTTGATAAATATTTGCTGGGGCCCTAGATGAGGCATTCTTCTAGGTACTAGAGATACACTTATGAATAAGACAGACACGGTCCTTGCCTTCTCTTCATTTTGTCACCCACATCCTACCCAACACCAAAGTCTGTCGTTTTACCTCCCAATTGCTTTTTGTATTTTCTCCTTTATTCTTTCTTCTCCTAACCATGCCCAGTCGGTCACAGACTGTCGCGGCGGTAGCAGCCTTCGTCCCGGTCTCCCTGCTGGTCATGCCCCTCTTCCCCTCTCTGCCCCACTTTGCTGCAGGGGATCATTCTAAACATTCAGATCCAAACTTATCTTACCTAATCAGCACGCTTCATCACAACGTACCACCTAGTAAGATCCTTGGCCTGCTATGTGCAGACGTTTACCCAGCCCCTGCCTCTTGCACAACCTCATTTTCCCTCCCTCCACCCTACAGCCGGCTGGCACTGGACACGTGGACCTTCTGCGACGTGTCACCATGTCCTCCACTTCGGTGCTTGCGCCGGGCTGTTGCACCTTCCTGAGCCACCCACACTTCGCTTTCCTGCCTCCAAAACACTTCTATCCTTTACGCCTCAGCTCAAAAGATCATTCTTCTTTGAAGTCTTTAACCCTTCCAGGAAAATTTAAGAATCAATCTTGCTGCGGTTGGCTGGAAACCGATATCCTATCTTCTTTAACTGCCTGGATCTCTTTGGGAGCCAGAACAATGGCTTTCCTTTTTTAAAACAAGAGTGGCTTTCACATATAGACACTCATTACATGTTTTTGAAAGAATAAATGCAAAATCCCTGGTCCTTGTTACACTAAATCTTATAATCGATTCAGGGAGTCACAACATACGGACTTAAAATTTTGTC